TATTTTATTTCTAGGTTTTGTAGAGATTTTTTTGGTTGATCAATTATTTCAAATTTAAAAACTTGTAATTCGTTTCAGCTTTGGTGCAGGTATGACCTCGAAACAAACGGGCATAATCTTCAACAGTGTGATGGACGATTTCTCGTTTCCATACTTTAAGAACTACTTTGGTATTCCTGGCTCTCCCAACAACGAGATGAAGCCAGGAAAGCGACCTCTGTCGTCAATGAGCCCAACAATTATTGTCGATAAAAATTCGGACACAAAGATGGTAGTGGGAGGCTCAGGAGGAACTGTCATAACGACATCTGTAGCTTGGGTAAGAAATCAGATATGGTATAAATTATTGTTTTAAAATTATTATATTTGATAAATAAATATTTATAGAGCCTGAGTTTTAAAAAAGCTCTATATTAGGTTTCCTGTTTGAGATTTTTGATTCAAATGTCTCCTGAGATCTCTTCCATTAAAAGCTTGATTTTCATGCGTCCATTATCCGTTGATACCCATACGATGGTCCGACGGGGCGCTCTGATTGGTCATAGTCGTTTCGCGCCAATTTTCATCTGTATTTTTTACTCCAGCCCGTCAATGGAGAAAAATCGTACGATAACGGACTTTTAACACTTTTTTTGACAAATTTAATCTAATTTTGATAAAAATGTAATAGTACAAGAGCTAGCAACGTCGGGAAAAAGAGAATTTTAAGAAAGCTGGTTCTTTAATATATCTTTTGCTATGGTCTCCTGACTAAAGTGCGGGCCGTCTGGCAACTGGTACACTAATGCGGTTCACTACTGCGCATCGCATCTGTACAGGGTATCCCATTTTCGTGTGTTTTATGGGATTTCTTGTTTATGAGTAGATATACTACAATGATGTGATTTTGACATTACTCTGCTACTTTTTATGAAATTAAATATGCTACACGTAGGTTTGCCCTAGCTTCCTTAGTTCCTGAAATACAGGGAGAATTTGTGATGCGCAGTAGTGAACAGATGTTGAATACAGATATGATGCGCAGTAATGAACGCAACGTCTACCGGCAGCCAGACGGTCCACACTCTGTTCAGAAGAGCAAAAGATATATTAAAGAACCAGTTTTCTTAAAATTCTCTCTCGAAAACGTTGATAGCTCTTAGACCATAGTTGTTGAGTTGTGGATGTCATTGGAGAGCACGGACTAGGACAGCGTAACGAGAAAGCAGAGAGGCTGGTTGAATTTGTCCAAGAGAAAGATATAGTAGTGACAAACACCTTATTCAAACTACCACCAAGAACATTATACACGTGGAGATTACCACAGGACACAAAAGATAAAATAGTAAGAAACCAGATCGACTATGTCATGATTAATAAACGATACAGAAATAGCATACTCTCAGCCAAGACATACTCAGGGGCAGACATCGCATCGGATCATAACCCTGTAGTTGCAACATTCAAACTAACTTTAAAACGTATCAAACAGTCCACGAAGGGTACCAAAATGGACGTCACAAGATTAAGAAACAGCGAAACTAGATCAAGGGTTGAAAAACGACTTACAGAAGAATTGCAAACATCACAGAGTAGAGATAAAAGGAGACATAAACATCGAATGGGAGAAAATTAAAGACACAATTCTTGAAATAGGAAACAAAGAGTTGGGCTGTAAGAATAAGAAAAAGAAAAACGAATGGATGACCGATGAAATTATCGAATTAATGAGATTAAGAAGAGAGGCTAAAACCACTGAAAACAACAGATATAAAAGTATACATCGGGAAATACAAAAGAAAGTAAAAGTGACGAAAGAACACTGGTTGAATGAAAAATGTGCCGAAATTGAACAACTGCAAAAAGTACATGACTCCTTTAATATACATAAAAAGGTTAAGGAGATCACTGGAAATTATAAAAAGAGGAACGCAAATATACTGGTGGATGATGATGAGAATATAGTAATGGAGCTGACATCAAAGCTTAAGACATGGAAAACATATATCGAAACGCTGTTCGAAGATGACAGAAATAGATCTTTACCCCCAGAAAATGATATAGAAACCGTACCAGAAATAACAACAGATGAAATAGAATATGCGCTGAAGAACATGAAGAACGCGAAAGCACCTGGCCCAGACCTGGCCCAGACCCTGACCCATTGAAATAATAAAACTGCTTAAGGAACATAGCTTGGATGCACTTGCTGAGCTCTTCAATGCGATCTACAGATCAGGAACGATACCAAAAGACTGGTTGGTGTCGACCTTCATTGTGATTCCTAAGAAAGTCAACGCAAGATTATGTAAAGATCATAGGACCATAAGCCTAATGAGCCATACACTCAAATTATTTTTAAAAATAATTCACAACCGTGTGTATAAAAAACTGGATAACGACATCAGCGATACACAGTTCGGGTTCCGCAATGGAGTTGGCACGAGAGAAGCATTATTAGTATAAACGTGTTGACTCAGCGCTGTTTGGATGCTAACAAGGATGTGTACGCCGGCTTTGTGGACTATGAGAAAGCATTTGACAGAGTCCGTCATGAACAACTTATCAAAATTCTGAGAGAAAAGCAAATAGATACCACAGATGCCAGAATTATTGAAAACCTATATTACGACCAAACAGCAAACATCAAGATAGACAATAAATACACGGAAAAGAGCAACATCAAACGTGGTGTACGACAGGGATGTATACTTTCCCCGCTATTGTTTAATATGTACGCGGAAGTCATCATGAGGGAGGCATTACACAATGAAGCAGCTGGAGTAGTAGTAAACGGAAAACAATATACGATACGCAGATGATACCGTACTGCTAGCAGAAAGTATACAGGACCTGCAACGAATGGTCCAAAAAGTGTATGAAACAAGTATCCATTATGGCTTGAATATGAACCTTAATAAAACAAAATTCATGATATTTACCAAAACACCGAATCAAAATACTCAACTGATCGTAAACCATCAGATAATAGAGCGAGTCTATAAATATAAATATCTAGGAACCCTGATCAACGACAACAATGTATATCAGAATTAAATCATCAGAATTAAAAACGAGAATTGAAATAGCACGTAACACCTTTATTAAAATGAAGCAATTCTTTTGTAGCAAAACTTTAAGTAACCACCTTAAAATACAAATGCTAAGATGCTACATGTTTACAATAATGCTCTATGGTATAGAAGCTGCCACTCTAACAAAACAAATGCTTAAAAAGATAGATACCTTCGAGATGTGGCTTTACAGAAGGGTACTCCGGATATCATATGTTGACAGAATTACCAATGAAGAAGTCTTACGAAGAGTCTCAAAAGATCTAGAATTGTCCCAAGAGGTGAAAATCAGAAAACTCCAATATACGGGCCAAGTAATGAGAGGTACAAGATACAAGCTTCTACAACTAATTATCCAGGGTAAAATAATAGGGAAGAGAAGCATAGGAAGAAGACGGATGTCGTGGCTTCGAAATCTCAGAGAATGGTTCAACTGTACATCAAACGACCTGTTCAAGGCAGCAGTCAACAAAATAAAATTAGTCATGATGGTCGCCAACCTTCGCAAGAAGTCGCCGGCACCTTAAGAAGAAGAAGAAGACCATAAGTAAAACAGCGAAATCGTTACGGAAATGCAGTATAATAAATAATCGTATCCGAAATGCAGTCATGAAAGTGCAATAAATTTAAAAACTGCGTAATTTTCTAACCAGTCGAAGTCTTTAAATTCAACCAATAAAATTAATATCGTATCATCGTATCGTCGGATAACGGATGCATGAAAATGAAGCTTAAACCTACTGGACTCACGTTTTTATGGTGACTTCAAACATTTATTTCGATCCTTTAGAGACTTTTTGACTTAGTGACTGCTTAAAACGCCTTTTCTTTCGAGATTTCGTCAACAAATCTATCTTAATTTTTAAGTTTGGTATCTTTTAGGACCTTTACGTAAAAAGAACAAGTAATTTTTAATAAACAATTAAAAATTAAAAAATCCTTGAAACTAAACATAATACATTTTGTTGTAGACTATCATTAGATCGTTATGGTTTGGTGAAAACATCAAAGAAGCTGTTGATGGTCCAAGGATACACCACCAGCTCTACCCTATGCTAGTGAGGTACGAGTATGGAGTACTACAGGTAAATATATTTAGGATTAATATACAGGGTGAGTCTTAAATAAGTGCAAATATGTTTGGGGCTGGTAGATTTCGATGAAAGAAACAAGTGAATTGTTCAGGGGAAAAACTTTATAAGCGCCAATTTCTTAATTTTAGAATTTTACAATTAAATATTATAGTAGGTCTAACTGGGCCCTACAAAAGGTGTAAACTCTGCTCTAAAAATTTTTAACTTTTTTGACATATCTCAAAAACTAAGCAAGATACGTAAAAATGCAATAGTAGAGTAAAATTGAAGGTCTTTTTTTGCAATATTTTTGCTCTCTTTCAATTTTTCTTTTCGTAGATATTACGTTTTTTTAGTTTGACTTGCGTGTAAGGACCACCTTCTTTGAGCCCTTAAAACCCAAAAATCTCGTGAAAATGAAGAGTTCAAGACTGTTCAACTATAGAGGTTAATTTGTAGCTCGTGTAATTTCCTACAAATTGATAGTTTTTATTTTTATGATTTTAGTCACAGATTTTGTTGTTAATTTTTTTCCGAAAAAATGAGGTGACCATTTTATTTTTATCATAACTCCGCGAGTTTTTGAGCCACGAACTTGACAAGACCTTATTAATTAAAATGGGTGATTTATTTTTTACTCCCGAGAAGGGGTAGCACCTTAGATTAACAATAAAAAGGTAGCACTCACCCCTAGGGTGAAAACACACATCGCTACTATGTAACTTTTGTTTCTTACATATATCTCTATTCACTGATAAAATTTCACGTCAATCGGTGCGGGTGTCAAGAATTTGGAGGTAATACCCTATTTTTATCCTCGCTTAGTATAAGGGCTTCAACATAAAGTTTAAATATTTTTCTGTATCATTTTCAGCAAGTAGTAGATGGTCTTAAAGCTCTCGGCCACAAGATGAAAAGAGAATTAGTGTCGGTGGTTTGTGCACTCACAAAGGACAAGGACAGGATAAATGCCAATGCAGACCATCGAAAAGGAGGCGACGTATATGGACTAAGTTGAAGAAACCTTTTATTCAATTCGTTACAACTTTTAATAAATACGTGAGCTCAAAATTAATCCACATATTTTGTCGAAGGAAGGGGTGTTAAATTTGAAATTGCTGTTTATATTTTGTTTTTATTCTGTGACAATGCTTTATAGTAATAATAAAAGAAAAAATATTTTGAAACAGTTTTAATAACCAAAAATTAATTTGAAAATGATAAAATCTTTCTTTAAAACTTAACAGGCTTTTTATAGCATGCATAGAAAACGCTTACTATCACTATTATCCTACTTTTACAACATAGATTCTCGATAATACCTTCAAATTATAATATTAGTTAATATTTTTCTAATTATTTTATACCATATTCTTCTATATTTGTTTGTTAAACTATTAGTTATTGTTGTATTTGATATGTTTAATTTATAAGATTAATAGTATTGTTTTATTTGATAGACTTTAGATATAATTGTAAAATGAGATTAATTTACAATTCTATATTTTTTATTAAATATACAGATATTGCGAAATTAAGACTGTCGTATTTTTGCTGCCTTATCACTATATACTATTTTTTTTTTGTATTATTTTTTAATGTTTTTAAGTATCTTTATACGATGTGGAAGAAAAAGAAAAGACTTTTTTTTTAATATTGTTTTGTAAATTTTGTAATGTAATGGGGTTTCCCGTAAATAAATAAATAAATAAACTAAAAGAGGAATTTTAAGATTTGATATACTTTAATATTATAGGCTTGGTGCATTCTCCTCTGGTGCTGCCACCGCCGGAGAATATCGTAAATAAAGAATACATAGGTACTAACAAATACACGGGTTTAAATCTCGAAAGAGGGATCCATCTTGGGCACATCCTCTGGGTACATCTTGGGACTTGGGACTCCATGGCTCCATATTCCATATTTCCGTAATTCTGTGAATCACAGATTAAAATTCAAAAAAGCAGTGGTACCATGGGCAACCAGTAAAGCACTAAAGTACAAAAGAAATAAATGTATATTCTGATTCTGTGGATCAAACCACAGATATGAAAAAGAAAGATATCTGTCAATTCGAAATTGTCAAAACAATAAAATTGTGCCACGGATTGTGCTTTGTACTTTTGTACCATGGCATAGCGGGATCCAATGGCGGGATCACAGGGACAGACAGGGACGGATGCTACCAGCGTGGGAGAAGAAAGACCGTCAGAGTGAACATATTTTTAAAAGACAATCTTTTTTCACTTGTCACGGGGGTAACCCAAGAAAAATTATACAAATATTCAAGAGAAACGACTTTGAGTCGGACGTCAGACGCTTTCACGAGCTTCTCTTGTCTTAGATTGAAGAAAAAAAAAGATAGATATTCTATCACCTCGCCGTATAGTCCTGGCAGCTTAGGCCGTAAAACCAATTAAAAAAGAAGAAGAATAAAATATGTCATGTTGATGGTTTCAGATTTCCACTTTCTAATCTTGATAAAATTTATTTTATGAATTAAAAAATGGATTTTGCTCGAAAACAGTTAGAGAAATACGGTTGGGAAGAAGGTAAGCAAATACAGCAGTCGTAAATTTGAACTGTTTTGTGCTAATCGTTTTAAAATGAGATTGCTGTAGAGATCAATGCATGTTTCAATGAAAATAAATATTAATATTATTGTTAATAGGTAAAGGTTTGGGTCGTAACGAAGACGGGATTTCCTCAGCACTAAAGCCAAAACTTAAATTTGATAATGCTGGCGTTGGGCATGACGTTGGCGAACAGTTTACCAACAATTGGTGGGAAAGACTTTTCAACAGTGCTTCGGAGAACTTAAATGTTCAGGTAACTATTAAATTAAAAATGTGAGATGTTAAGTTGTTTAATATCCATATGATGTTTACTTTTTAGGTTGATAGCTCTGGAGTGAACATTCAAATTAAAGATTCCGATGCTGTTGATATTTCAACAAAATCCTATTCAGTGAAACAACTAAAAAACAAGTCTAAAGATTTAGAATATGGTTCCTTTATAAAGACATCAAAGTTGACTGATAAAGGGGTTGAAAATTACAGTAACACACCAAATTTTGACGGAGAACCTATGAATTCATATCAAGGTTTAACAGATGAACAACTTTTTGCTGCCTGTAATAATAGGACTGCACATAAAGGTATGTATATAATAGAGATATATGTGAGAAAAGTACATATTTTGCATCAATAATAATATCTTGAGTAATATAATTTATATATCAAGAATCAATAAAAACTTAATTGCTTTTTTATCATTATAATATATTGGTAAGGATATATATTTCTTATAAATCATTTGTAGAAGATATAACACTCTTTGTAAAAACAATGTCATGACTCAGTTTAGTAAGAAAATCAATTATTGTTATGGTAAATATCTCAAGAACTGAGGCCTTTAAAAAATAATGTAGTTAGTGATTATGCATGCATTTTTACATTTTTATATTGGTAAATTCAAGGTGGGTATTATTAATTTATGCATTTGAAAAAAGTCAGTTTTGTGGTGGTTTTGTGACATCATCTGTTTTTCCTCTTACCCTTCATTTAAGCTATACATTCCCCCAGATCAAATAAAATATACATACAGGGACCGGCAATAGTGCGTCAGGTATCTGTATCTCTTAGAATAACAAGTTTGAGAATTTTGTTTAGGGGCAAACCTAAAGAGTGGATTGGGATGTTTTTTTAAATGGTACACCCTGTATATTATTGCATTTTTGGCTTCCAGATCAGTCTGCGTAATCCTAAGATATAAGTAAATATATTAATAAGAGATATTAATAAATAAATAAAAATATTATATATTTTTCAACCTTTCTTAAAAAAATATATAACAAATACCAGAACTGTCCTGAAATCAAAACTATATTATGTATTTACTTTAGATGGTTTATACTTACTTTGCTATAAATATCATAATCTTAAATCATACAGGGTGTTCAAAATTCTACGCCAAACTTTCTAAAATATAAAATTACTTTGTTGTTTTTTTTTTAAATGGAATACCCTGTATATTATTTTTTTTATTAGATGGAGAACATTTTTTGTATTTAAAGTATGTTCAAATTTTTAATGGTTTTGTAGATACAGGCAGTATTATTTCATATGGCTCTTTAACGGTAAAATATTTTAATTTTTTAACTCTATGGTAAAATACGAGACAAAAATCAATGAGTGGCTTTGATAAAAATTTGCTGTGGAAAATGCCATATGAAAAATAAAACCGCGAATATCTGCGAAACCGTTAAAAATTTTGAAATATTCTAAATACAAAAAATGTTCATTCTTTTCATTCATTCATCTATTGAAAAAATCATATACAGGGTGTTCCGTTTTAAAAAACGAAGAAAAATTATTTTAAGCCGCGTCCAAGCTAGGCGAACAAAACGTTCGCGAACACATATAATTAAACAGATACTATTAAGGAGCGCGAAGCGCCGAACGTCTATCTATGCAAGAGCGCGCGCGTTCTTTTTCCGACGGTTGTCGGTACATCAAAAGGAGTGAACGGCGTTAATTTCGGCGGACATTGGAAGGGTCTCATTTAATTTCGGGCGTCCATCTATGATTTTTATTTTTTACTGAGTATTCGCAAAATTATAGATGGCACTGTTAACGTCCAAAAATATCAACATATACTTGAGATCTCACTTTTGCTAGTGCTCAAGAATTGTTTCCAAACGAAGACTGTACTTTCCAACAAGATGGAGCATCGTGCCATTCAGCAAAATCAACTAAAAATTGGTTTGGTAATAATAATATAAAAGTTCTATCCCATCCTGCAAGTAGTCCGGACCTCAATGTCATAGAAACTGTGTGGCATAAAATGAAGCAATATTTAAGAAACCACCCTCAATGAACAATTTTTGATTTGCGGACAAATCTGCAGGAAATTTGGGATAATTTTTCTCCTCAAATGTGCCAATCTTTGGTAAATACAATGCCATTAAGAGTTCAGGCAGTTGTTAAGGCGAAAAGTGATGTAACTCCGTATAAAACAAATTTTTTGTTGTGCTGTCCCAATATATAGTTGTCAGCAAATATGGCTTGATTTTGGCAAAATAAGCTATTATCAAAAGTGATTTGTTTGCAAAGTTATAAAAATATAGTAAAATTGTCTAGATCATATTGTAATGTTTGAATTTAGAATAATAAACAAAATAAATTGAGTCGTTTTAACAAATTAGTATATTTATTGCAAAAAAAGACATTGTCCCAACATATAGTTGTTAGGGCTCGTATTAAGGCTTAATTAAGGTTTGCAGAGCTTCAGGATTTACCATAAAATAGCGAACAGCCAAGACAAAAGCAGCTGCCGCAATTTTCACCTTATCATCCATATTTATTTTTTCAGCTCACATTAAGCCGGGCACTCGAAAACACTGCGACTACCTAAACGCATCCTAGATCTATAGAGTAAACTGGTTGTCGCATTCTTCCCCGCACCTCAGTCCTCGGGACCGATGCGATGGGCTGTGCCGTCGTTTACGACCTGCTGCTATATGTATAGTGTTAATTATATATGTTCGCGAACGGTTTTGTTCGCTTAGCTTGGACACGGCTTTATATTTTAGAAAGTTTGGCGTAGAATTTTGAACATCCTGTATGATTTACGATTTTTCAAAAATAAATTCTGATCATTTTACAATACTACTTAAAAACCAGATATTTTTTTTAATTTTAGGCGCACGACATGGCCTAAAACTAAACGGAAAATTATCCCGTATCGAGAAACAAGAAAAAATCCTCTTGAAGAAGATGAAAAAGGTCTCCTTAATCGACCAAAGCACCAGTAAAGTCGAGAAGAAGCTCAAAAAACTGAAGAGACAAAAAGAAGAGTGCGAAGAGAAATACACACCCCTCGTAGCCGAAATGTCCAGTCCTTCTTCATCTTTAAAGAAGAAAGAGAAAGCCAAAAAAAGAAAGAGTGTCTCATTTAACGAGACGGTCACAAGAATTTACACTGCCGAATTGGACACAAGCTTCGACAGCGAAGTGGGTTCGTTAAAAGACGAGAATTCTAATGACGCGGTTAATAACAACAGCGGATCCGACGAAGGAATCGAACACGATCTCGAAAACAACAACGAATTCGAAGTGGACAACCATAAAGCCTTCGAAGAGGCCAGGTTGAACTTCAGCGACCTCTCTAAAGCCGAGAAGAAGAAACTAAAGAAGAAGCGCAAGCTTGAAGCTAAGCTCTACACCGCTACAAATATGTTTCTGCAAAACGTCAATGGTGAAGCATCAAAAGACGAGGTTATGATCGAGGAAAAGGACGCCTTGACAAAGAAACGTAAGTATTTAGAGGAGATTGAGCACGTGCACTCGAAGAGGTGTCAGACTGGAAGCCCGGAGAGGCTGAAAAGGAAGAAGAACAAGAAAAAGAGTAAGAAGAGAGAGGAAGAGTCGCCTACGATAAGCTCTATCGCGAAAACTCTGGAGAACGTGTGTCGCATGTCCGAAAGTGAGTAATGTCGATTATTGTTGTACTGTAATAAGGAAATAAACACATGATGTAGGTAGTTTGTACCTATTTTATGAACGGACGGTATGGTAAGCTTGTATTTTATTGGTCCTAGTTGTGTATATACTGAGATATTTTTGGTTGGATAGAATTTTGCATATTAGTCTTAATCTTAATATTAACATTAGTAAAGTCTGTTTAACCAGTCACGAAAGATTTCGATAGTGAAATCCAGAAAATGAAGCACGATTTTTAATGCATCCGTAATGCGTCATCTGTCTTTGTTTTTATGCAGTTTTGTTCGTTTATTTAAAAAATGACGGGTTAGGCTCATACTTGAACGTGACTGGAGTGACGGTATAACGGATAGGGTATATAGGTTATATATGTATAGATTAGGTATACAAGGTGGTGACAATTTCGATGCTCAACATTGGCATCTCAGAAACTGCGAGAGATAGGAAATCGGTTAAATGGGGACAAAAGTTGCGTAATCAGAAGTTAAATGACAATATCTTCAAAACTATTGTATCTATTGTAACGTAAGTTGGTAGTTTTATATTTTTGTTTAAATGACAATATTTTCAAAACTATTATATCTATTGTAACATAAGTTGGTAGTTTTATATTTTTGGCCTTGGCCAATTAAATGCAGTTTTCAGAAAATTTCTAAGCCCTCTAGATTTCACACTACAACCACAAATTACCTATTACAGATGCGAAAGAAAGCGACTGCATCGGAAACCGCTCGGCAAACCCGACACGCCTATTGAGTGGTGTAAATACACCAGTCGTTCAGTCCGGAAGCCCTTGCTGTGTCGTATTAGTTTGCTGAAGCTCGTTGGTGTGACATAGTGCGTGGTTATATGTTTGTTTTTAAAAACGCGTGTAGGATTTTTGTTGAACTTTCGAACTGTTATTTCTAAGTTTTGGTAATTTGTATATCTTATTTAAAATGGGATACAAATGTGTTTATTTATACTGTTCTACAAAAACCGGAGGAGGAAAATCACTTTTTAGGTTCCCAGAGGATAAGTTAAGGTAAGGAAAAATGATTAATAAGTAGGTATTAGGTATTATTCGCCCTTTTGTAATAGGAATTATTGTAATTTAGTATTTTCAAACTGATAAAATATCTAAGTACATTCGATTTAAATGAACAAAAATAGAAAAATGAAATGCTCTTTTGCTGGAGTTTGTATTTTAAACCCCAAAAACAGGTGTGTCTTTATTCTTGCCGGCTTGCCTGCATTGCATGCAACATTATTTTAAATAAAACTACGTTCCTTTTATTTTTAAGATCTGTTCATAAATTATGATAAAGCCACGAATATACGTGACTCATCGCTTGACGAAGTTAGAATCGACACGTACGCTCTGTTTTTTTACATTAAGAACGTGATATTTTACGGCAGACGTAGTGTTATTATCCCGTCCTCATTTTAATTAAATTTGTAATATTAGTTTAGGAATGTCCCATCTCATATAAAAACCTTCATACCTCTGAGGTCATAAACGACCCTACAATATAATTCTAATTGATAAGTTTTACTATTACCTTTGGGAATTTTGATCATAAATTTATATAGCTTTTGCAGACGTCTGTCTACCTAAACAATGTAAGTTTAGGGCAGTGTAAGTAAGGCAGTAGGTTTTTAAACATCTGGTCTAATCATCGGCGTCTGCACTCCCCCTACTCACTCTAAAATGATAGTTGGTTTTAATTCTGTCAACTTTGGCGTGGTTGACAAATGACAAATCGCCTTTTGTGGATTGACTCGTTTTTGTCTTTCAGTTTTTTGTGGCTTTTTCTTTAGGTAGTTCTTTATTTTTATTAGACTACATAATATGTAGCGCCGAATAATAATATAGCAAGAAGAGTCACTCTAAATCCCGCCCTATTTTACGTTATTTCCACGTGGCTGTGTTTTTTAGCGGAAGCTCTTATTTGAAATCGGTGTGTTTTTTTGTACGGAGTATATTTATTAAACTTTTAATTAATTAATTATAATTTTTACAACTTAGGGCCTATAACGTTATTATTGTTTTGGATTTATGAGGGTAGCGGCGCCAAGGTTTCTTGGAACCTTTGACTAGAAAAGTCTCGTAAATTCCATTACTTTCTATGAACTGAAAGTGTGCCGAAAATTTAAATGTCGTTGTTATTGTTAAATACACGTATATTGTTAAATATATTTCTTCGACATGTTAAAATCTCTGTAAATTTTAAATTAAATCAAAACCAGTATATTTCAAAATACGTTCTTATTTTCATCTAAAAATATTTTTTTAGAGCAAAGGCCTGGCTTAAGGCTGCCGGAAGAGAAGATCTTCAGGAAAAAAATTTAAAAAATTATAAATTGTGCGAAGATCACTTTGAAACCAAATTTATTTCGGTCTCGTCATCTGGTTTTAAACGTTTATATGATACTGCTGTGCCGACAAGATTTCTCAAACCATCATCATCAAGAAATGAGGATATTTTTGAAGAGCCCCCTGAAAAGATTACAATTTTGTCAGGTAAGTAGGTAGTAATAGGTAGCTGTTGTGTTGAGATAATATTATTTTTCTACAAACGTTAAAAACACATTTTTATATTGTTATGATACGCAAAACAGGTTTTTTTTCAACAGGTGAAAAAAGTTAACATGATGGTGATTTATTTTCTTAATAGTATTAGCTATTTTCGCGGAGACGATCCGGAACTAATTCTGAACGCTAAGGCAAGGTGGGCAAGGTCAACTAAAACTGTCAACTCAATTTACTATGGCACAACTGTCACTTAATGGCCGCAGCTTTAGCGTTCAGGATTAGTTCCGAATCGTCTCCGCGAAAATAGCTATTACCTATTATTTTATTTTAAATTTTAATATTCAATGCGCCAAAATGAACTTATTATTGTCAATATTCATTTTGTGCCTCGACTTATCGGTCTCGCTTAAAATAAACTTATGCCATTAAAAAAAATGCTGATTTTGCGCACTTAATATTATATTTTAAAAATGTGTGTTTCTTTTTAGATATACCTCTGGATGTCCTTCAACGACCTTTCGGGGTTACGCTCGATAAAGAATATGTTACCAATATCTCCGAGGAAATGGTAACTAGTAAGTATATTTTTAAGTATTAGTTACAATTAGCATAACTAAACATACATAATGGGTTTGTTTTTATAGTCAGTACCAAAAATAATTTGTGCTATACACAATACTTACCGTTTTCGCCGGCCCTGGCAATGGATTAGAAAACGTCTGCCTTACCTTAGGTCTTTTTTTACATTTTCAGGTTTAATTACGTTAAATGTCATACTGATATCAAATTTTATCAAATCTAAGACGTTTTCCATTCCATGGCCAACAACTTTATTAATATAATTTTTGGTATCCCTGTAGAATTATTACGGTCATTGCAAATTAATAAATAATTTTTTCCTTCAGGTGAATTAAGCATTGATACTGGATCCACTTGTCTCGCTGCATCTCCTTTGATATCGCCGATGTCTACTCAAACGCCATCGACTTTGACATCTAACACTCCTCGGAAAAGTAAATTAAAATGTAAGGTCCATTTGTTAAGAAAAAAGTTAATATTTGCCAAAAAACAGTCCATTACCGAAAATAGGGAAAAATCGTCCTTATTAAATTTCAATAAGTTGTGCAACAAATTTCTGAATAAACCTTTAGCCGAAATCGTTAAATTACAAGCACTTCTTAAAAATAAAGTTGCTAAAGCAAGAAGGTATAATGAAGAATATAAGAAATTTGCCCTTACATTGTACTTTTTACGTCCAAAAACATATAAATTTTTAGAGAAACTTTTAATTTTACCAACGAAACGCAGCTTAGAACTAATGACTCAAAATTTTATTTGCAAACCAGGTTTAGGTAATGATCATATTTTCAACTCTCTGAGTCTTAAAGTTAAAACTATGTCGGAGTTAGACAAACATTGCAATATATGCATAGATGAAACCTATCTTAAGTCAAATCTATATTTTGACACTGGTCGAGATCAAATTATTGGATTTCATGATATTGGAACTAAGGAAAGAAAATCGTCCCTTATAGCTCAGAACGTGGCTGTAATTATGGCCAGAGGTTTATTCAATAATTGGAAACACAACCGATCGCGTTTTTTTTTTAAACACCAATCGTAAGTCAGCAGATATTTTAGAAATTCTTAAGGAATGTGTAAATAAATTATCAGATGTTGGACTATATGTTCAAGGTATTGTAACTGATATGGGGTCAAATTTTATACAAATTTCAAAATTGTTAAATGTCACTACTGACAATCCAGAATTTAATGTTGGTGATTATAAACTCACATATTTTTTTGACACTCCTCATCTTATTAAGGCCACAAAAAATTAATCTTATGCAAAATGTATTCTGTTTCGACAATAAAAAGACAAAATCTTGGAAGTTTATAGAAACTTTTTATAATAATGATAAAAAGCAACAATATAGATGTGCACCCAAGCTCACGGATGCTTACATCTATCCAAACAACTTTCAAAAAATGAAAGTTAAGCTTGCTACGCAAGTAATTAGCAGAACGGTAGCCATTGGGTTACAGACGCATAATATGACTCTGGGTGTACTTCCTGCTGAAGCACAAGCCACTCTTGAGGTAGTTGAAAAATTTGATAAACTGTTTGATTTACTAAATGCAGTGGATTTTAATCACCCTAATCCGTACAAAACTGTCCGTCAAAAATGAAATGGGTTTATTTTTAGCAAACTTAAAAATTTTGAATAACAATAATATAGATATAACTTTGAAATGCAAGTTTCGTACGTGCTGGATGATCACAATAAAGTCCATTCAAATTCTCTGGCATCGACTTTCTTCTATTGGATTTACCTATTTAAAAAGGATTTACCAAACCAAAAACATGGAGAATTAACCAAGATTGCTTAGAAAATTATTTTGGCAGCGTTAGACAGCAACAAGGTAATTCTGTAAATCCAACACCTATAGAATTCCAAAGGGCATTTAGGAAACTATTTTGTCAAACTTTTTTGCATTCTTCCTTTATGAATTGTTTCGATGACTTGGGTATTTTATTAACACAATTAAAGTCCGTCAAAAAGTCCAGAATTTTATTAAAAATGTGGCACCATTAAAAAACATCAGGCAATAACTTTACCAGATTGTGATTATAGGCATGAAAGTATAACAACTCAAAATGCCTTTAATTATGTCTGTGGCTACATCATTAAAAAGGGTCTTCAAATACATCAATGTGATATTTGTCTAAAATTTGCAAAAGAATCCGAATCTCTGGATAACTCGAAATTATTTACCCATTTAAAAGCCTTTAATCATGATAGTGGCACTTATGGGAGTTTAAAATCGCCAAATGAAAAATTTGTTCATTTTATTTACAGGCTGGAAAAATTATTTACATTAAATTTTGATGAGTTTTGTACTGAAGAAAACATTAATCAGAGGCTGTTTGGTATAATGAAAACTATAGAATTTGACCACCCATGTGAGAAATTTCCTCTTATTTACATCATTAAATTATTTATTAGATTGAAAATATTTTATGCATTAAAGTTTACAAATAAAGATTTATATAGTCAAAAAAAGTCCAATAGAACCAATAGAAAAGTAACTATTTTGTCACATCTTTAATTAAATTTTGTTAAATAAATTAATGTTTTTATACTATAAATATCTTTTTTTCCCCTAATTTCCTACGAACTGATATATGACGAGCAATCTATTAAATTACTGTGAGATTATATGCCTCGATCACATATTGGTGCAGATTATTTTAACCCAAACAAATAATAACGCAAACTATACATTGATGCGGATTGTCTATGAACTCTTTCTGAAGGTCACAGAAACCGAAACGCGGAATTCGGTGTTCTTTCGCATCTGTTGTAGTTAATTTGTGCCACCGTATAGATTATTTTTTGCTCTATCTAATATTATAAATCTCAAAATGGCGGCCATAAGAAAACAAAAACTTGACTGTTGTTGTGCAAAATCTAGAAGGCTTAGAAATTTTCTGAAAACGGCATTTAATTGGCCGAGGTCAAAAATATAAAACTACCAACTTACGTTGCAATAGATACAATAGTTCTGAAGATATTGTCATTTAAAATAAACGCATTATTTTCATTTTTTTGGCATAAACCCGAAACTAATCAAGATACCGGGGTTTTCTTCCTAGGTGTTTGTCAAACTTCTAATTACGCAACTTTTGTCCCATTTAACCGATTTGGTATCTATCGTACTTTCTGAGATGCCAATGTTGAACATCGAAATTGTCACCACCCTGTATACTGAGATTTTTTTGGTTGGATAAAATTTTGGATTTTAGTCTTAATATTAACATTAGTAAAATCGGTTTAACCAGTTAGGAAAGATTTCAACAGCTGAAATCCAGAAAATGATGTACGGTTTTTAATGTTGTTTATTTAAAAAATTACAGATCATACTTGAACGTGAGTGACAGTATAGAGGATAGGGTATATAGGTTATATATAGATTAGGTATATAGGGTGATTCACGGCGATGGCACGTTAGACGTGTATGGAGAACCGGTGATAGATTTTTTTTGAAAATTTGGATTTTTACATAAAGGTACCGGCTCCATCTTTCTAAAATATTTTTAGGCATTACAGTGTTGCCGCTTCATACCAAAAGTGGTAGCATCTTTCTGATTTTAAATGGAACACCCAGTATATTATTATATTTTTGGAAACTACTTTCATATCTCACAATTTTTCTATTATGCTAACCTATACCTATCTCTAATAGTTTTTGGGATAAAAAATAAAACGTGTAAAATTGACAAAAACATGATCGTGAATAACCATTGGTAAAATCATGAATTAAACATTTTTAGAGTTGAAATTTGGGTTATAAGTTAACGAAAGTCGATATATTTTATCTTTCTAGATAAACTGATTGGATATTACACAGAGAGAGCAAAAATATTTATTTCCGATTGTTATAGAGTTGCTTAAATCTTTGTTATTTTAAATTCAACCCTATGTATATTATTTAAAAAAATCAAAAGACTAGTAAAATTCCTTTTCAACGATATATCATGTTCCTATACCTAAACCTTCTAGTTTCTTAAGTAGAGTTATTTAAAAATTAATAATTCTATTATTACAGTCTCATTTCAATAATTTTGTTCTCATGACAATTTTAGAAATTTAGCACCTTAACTCTAACTAATACTTAATAAAGTTTGAATTTTTATCATGGTAACCATTTTCTTTAGACGAAACAATTATAATATAATTATTATCTTTTAAATAGCTTTACTGAAGAAACCAGAAGGTTTAGGTATAGGAACATGATATCGTTGAAAAGCAATTTTATTTGGTTTTCGATTTTTTAAATGATATACATAGGCTTGAATTTAAAATAACAATAATTTTAACGATTTTATAATAATCAGAAATAATCATGGTACAAAGAAAACAAGGTATGATCGATAGCGGCTCCAATTTCGTTAAGTTTGCGCATACCACCTGTGACGTCATACGCCATACAAAAAAATATTCATATTGTCCAATTGCCACTAATAAAAAAAGACCTAAAATAGGGAAGAATTAGGACATAACCCTAAAAGTTATGTCAAATCATCGAACTTGACATTTGAAAAATTATTTTCACATTTATCCATCATTTATTATGTCATCTGTTTGACAATTTGAAATTGGCGCGCGGAGCTTGCCGACCAATGGTACCGTTTATCACCTGTGCCGTAGTGACCAACCTGCGCAATATCATACCTTGTATTCTTTGTATCATGAGAAATAATTATTTTTTCTGACCTCCCTGTTTGATATCCTATCCCCAAGTAGCATTTTCACGACTTGCATGTTTACTAAACACAACGTTGGATTAGTTACAAAAAATAGTTAGCTCCGTACATGGGGTATTAAAATAAATTAAACGTTGTAACGTTGTGCCGACGTTGAACTAGTACTACAACAAAGTAAAAGCTTCTGCGAATAAACGTTGTCGTATAACCTTTTTTGCTTAAGTGATCTTTGGGTGATTCGGACAACGTAGTTACAATGTTGGGCAATAAAGAGTTTTCCGACGTCACTTTCAGGACCTATTCCAACATTATGCAAACGTCGCGTCGTCTGTTTTACTAATTCCAACGTTGTTTAGATTTCCTTATTCTTACGTTGGTAGGACGTCGCGCCACTACCTTTTTGCAATTGTATTGAACCATAACCTTAAATCTTAAATTTTCACTTCATTGTTCTGTTCAGTCAGACAGTTCAGTGCTGTTTTTGTTTTTATAAAATAAACTTAATTAAAATGGGACCTAAGAAAGGCACATATAAAACTAAATTTAAATATACATCGACATATTACCGATATTTTATCCACTCCCTCGTTTATTTAGAATATAGAGGGCGGCACAAGCTAGAGTCTAGGATGACTAAATTAGGCAATCTTGCGACTAGTATACCTGTTAAGGCTGAACTCCGACTTTATTAGACCAGTATGCGACTTCTCCATCTTAATCTCGAAAACAACAAAGTGAAAGCCGCCATGTTGTTGAATAAGAAAATGTTTCGTTCCTAAAATAGCAATTCCTGCTTTTTGAATACATTAACTTGAAATATTTGACCCTAAACAACACGCGGAAACAATTTTTTTTTCGACTGCGAATAAATTATTCTCATTTTACTAAAAAAAAATTCAAAGAATTTTTTAAAACTTGTTTAATTTTATGGCCCATTAGTATTTTTCAAAGTAGAAACAATACATTTATCAATAAAGTTGTTTGCGTTTAACTTTTTTGCCTTGGGTAACGAGTTACAGAGTTGGTTAAAGTGTTTTCAATAATTGTGATTTTCAACCTCCTCCACACTTAAATAATTTTGTTTTGTTTTCCTTTATTGCCATCTGGCATATGTCTCTAACTAAATCATAAAAATAATACTTTTACTATAATTATCCCAATTTAGGATAAAACGCGACTTAGACGCCATATTATTATAGTTTTGTATTTCTGTGAATAAGGATTTTAAACAATGTTGCAGTTTGTATTCGATTAGGCTGCTAGCCAACGTAGGTATCCAACGTCGTTTCGACCCAAAAATTATTCCCCTAACTAGTGCAGACTAGGCTTGGCATGAGGTTGTGTCGAGGTTGCGCCCCGATGTTTGGTCGCGTGACACAACGTTGTCTCGACGTCCAAATGCTGCATGGGGCAGTTGATTTAGACAGATCGATATAAACCAAATTTTAGCTTTCAATAGGCCGAATTTTATTTAATATGCTTATTCATAATCATGTTTTTGTCAATTTTACACATGTTTTCTTTTTTATCTCTGGTATAGGTTAGCATAATAGAAAAATTTTGAGATATGGAAGTAGTTTTGAGAAATATAATAATATACCGGGTGTTCCATTTAAAATAACAAAGATACTACCACTTTTAGTATGAAGCGACAACACTGTAATGCTGAAACCAAATACTTTACCCCAAAAAATACTTACACTTATACGCACTGTATATTCTAAGGTAAAAAAATTACTTTAAACTGGTTTAACAAGAATTTCTAATATTTTAAGATCAGCTGTGTCTGAGTGAAATGTTGTTCCTACGCCTACTATGACGTGGCGTAGGCTTTTTTCTTGCGTGACTAACTATATGTTTAATCTATGGTAGGTTCAGTATAGGCATGTAAAGAGTTATTTTTTGTAAAGTTCTTGATTCAAGTGTGGTTGGTTTACATTGATATCTACCATCACTCATCACTGATGGTAGATACCAACATAATCATAATTTACGTTATGTAGGATTTATACAGGGTTGCTGTTATGTATGGAAACGGTCGATTATTAGGTAAAATGTAGGAGGTACCGCAAAAAGTTAAATACAAAAGTTATAGGATTTTTAAATATCTATTAGCGAGTAATAAATTCATGTATACAGGGTCGGTCATAAAGTCGTTGCACATCAAAGTTTTATTTTTTTAAATAGAACTCCTTCAATTCTAAACAAAAATTGAAATACACACAATGTACCTCAAACCAACCGTTTCCGAGTTATTGACTTGTGAAAATATCACTTAAATAATTTGATTTAATTAATTTCGATGTTTCATTTAACGATGCCATTCTGCCAAAACTATGATAGCAAAATAAAAACACTAAATCACCACAATACACCAAAACACTTTTACTTTTACACTGGTCGCGCGTTTCGCTAACCATGTTAGCATCATCAGCAGATGATTATAAACTAAAGTACAATCTACAAGTTGAGCGTTTATATACTCGCCCAGTGGGCACCGAGTGGGCGTGGCAAAAACTAGCCAACCGAGTCAGAGCCAACTGAGCGTAACAGTTAGATTTCCGCCACTAGAGTAGTAGGAACCGACCCTGTATACTTAAATTTACTAGTCGCTGATAGGCACTTAAAAACCCATTACAACAGTATCACAGTTTCGGCAGAATGACATCATTAAATGAAACTGAACAT